GGGGGGCCACAGGTGAAGAGCGCCCCGGAGGCTGCGTAGGGCTTCTGTGGGGTCAGCACGGCGGGGGGCTCGGGGGAGGCCGAGCCCAAGAAGCGGGGCTTGGGGGGCAGTGCCACGGGCGGGGGGCACACACATTCCTGAGGCAGCAGCGAGGTGATCCCTCGGACCACATGGTACTTGGGGAGGTGGTCGAAGCTCTTGCGGGCGGGGGGTGCAGGCGGGTCCCCGTCGGGGGCACCAGTCTTGGGGCGCTTGGGCAGCGGCTCAGCACAGAAGAAGTCTCTGGCGGGGGGCACCCAGGGCCCCTCGCTCGGGGGAGTGCCGTCAGCCAGGCCATTGGGGTGGCCACCGCCGGGCACTGGGGGCTTGGGCCGGACGTCTGGCCGCCGCACCTTCTCCGGGCCAGGGGCATGGCTGGCTTTGGGGAACACCCCCTGCGCCCCCAGGCCAGGCGGGGGCCGGTGAGACTTCAGGTTGCTGGGCGCTAAAGTGCTGGGGTCGGCCCCCGCGAGGGGTGCGGCACGGCCGGGCGTGGGGGCGCTGGGCTTGGCTTTGTCGGCCGCGGGGGGCTTAGTGGGGGGCGCCGCCCTGGGTCGGGGCCGGTGGAAGGCGGCCAGCGGGGGCACGTCCTTGCCCAGCAGCGCGGGCGGGCACCCCGTGCGCCGGCTGCGCAGCCAGGACTTGCTCCTGCAGCCCTTGTGGATGTCGGGGTTGTACTTATGCTCGAGTCTCTGGTGCATCATCAGAACTTCGGGGTAGAAGGTCTTGAAGGTACAGAACGGGCAGGTGGTGCTGGGGATCAGGCTTTTGCTCAGAGAGATGGCCGGGCAGCCATGCAGCGGCCCCAGCGACAAGTTCAAGGGCTTCTCCTGGCTGTCGGGGGGCCGCTCCCCCCTCCTGTCCTTGGGGAGCGCCTCGCCCACCTTCAGGGCCGAGCCATCGGGGTGTGGGGCGCAGGGGGGGCGCGCGGCCAGAGGCTCCGCCGCGGGTCTCTTTTTCAACAGGTCCAGGTAGGTGGGCGCGGGGCCCTTGCTCACTGCCTCGGCGCCGTCCTCGGCGAGGCCTCTGCTGAAGTCCTGAGGGTCCCTGTGGGCGGGGGACGGGGCGGCACCGCCCAGGGCGCGCTGGGGGGCGGGGGCCGCCCCCTTCAGCTGCTTCGCAGGCGGGCTGCCTTTGGCATCTTTGGCACCATCAAAGAATCTCTTCAAAGTTTTGGTCTGCGCGGCGTCGCTGGCGAGCAGTGCGTCCTCCAGCTCGGGCGGCTTCCCGTCGGCCCTGCCCTCCGCCGCCGCGTCCCCCTGCTTGTCCTTGTGGTGTCTCTCCAAGTGGTAGCGCAGGGAGGTCTTCTGGGCCGCAGCGTAGTCGCAGAATTCACATTTGTACGGCTTTTCCCCTAGGAGAGAGTCCCGTTCGCAGTTTAGGGAGCGGCCTACGGCCTCGTGAAACAAAAGCGCCGCGGGGAGCGTGGCCCGTCCACCCGGTCGCCGCGGCCTCCTCCAGGGCCCGCACCCCGACCCGAGGTGCCCACAGCCCCCGGGCAGCCCTGGCCCCGGGGTGCCGGGGGAGGAGGGGCCGCCAAGCAGCTGCTGCTTCATCCCTCACGCTACAGGAAAACCGGCATGAAGATCGTGGAAGGCTTCGGTGGGCTGAGACACCAGACAGGCCGCCGTCAACACGGGAAGGGCAGCCGAGCCGGAGGGCGGACGGAAGCTGCCCGCGGGGTGCTCAGGGCGGGCCCCGGGCCGCTACCTCTGTGCCAGACACGGCTTCAAATCAGAGCTGAGAGGCCCTTACCTGTGTGTGTTCTGAGATGAATATTGAGGTAATAATTGGAACGGAAAAACTTCCCACAGTAACTGCATTCCCTCGAGGACGGGAGATGCTTTATTTTTCCTCCATCATCATTTTTATCTTAAAGCAAAAACAAAAAGTGATGTCAAAAGACAGAACAATCCACGCGAGCGAGGCAGAGCCACGTGGCCCTCCTGGCAGCCGGTCCTGAGAGCGCCTGCAGCCTAAGCGCCCCCCAGGCCGCAGAGCGTGGCCGCTTCATCCTGCCTCAACTCTGGAGGAGGGTGACGTTAGGAGGCAGCTTTCCATTTGCCCTAGGAGACAGCCCAGCTAGCCGGGACGGTTGCTGATCCCTCCCCCGGCGCGAACAGCAGGGCACAGTGAGGCCAGACCTGCGGGCACTGGCTGAGGACACTGACCTGGGCCTTCCCAGCCAGGGATCCCCTGTTCTCCTGCCAGCAGCCACTAGAGGGCAGCAAGCACAACCGAATCACCCCGGAACAGGGAGGGGCAGGCCCACCCGCAAAAGCCCGCCTTGTCAGGCAGTGGTCTGGTTAGCACTCAGGCATGGCAGCAAGACGCAGGCCACCAGTGGTGGCCAGTGTGATATCCACAGGGTAACCCGAGCCATCATGGTATCTTGTGCACTGGGGAAGTCAGTGCAAGGGCAGCGACCTCCCCAGACAAGGAGCTACCCCCGGTGGGGGCCCCATGTCAGTGCCCCAGGAAAGGGACCAGAGAAGAGACCCGCCCTTGGTCAAACTCGCTGAGTAAAGTTCACCTGGAGTGAAAACTGGTATTTCCACTCAAAGGCCCCTGTTCCCTTCACATGTTGCTCCCTCGACTAGACTCATAAGCCAGTTTTTGCAGCCACCCGTGAAGCAGGGCTCAAGCTGTCACCGCACGCAGGTCACGACAGCCCGACTGCACACCGAAGGTTAATGGTGGCAGCCTGGATGGGGGCGGGCGGGCACGGAGACGTGAGGCCTGTGTGACACCCGGGCACCCGCAGCAGCAGGCCCCGTGCCCGCTGGTGGCGGGGGCAGCACGGACCGGACTGCCAGGCCAGATAAGGGAAGATACGAGCAAGTGCCACGCACCTGCTCACAGAAGCTGAAAAAATTAAGACCGATTACTTTGCTACTTGGCCTGAAAAGCAAGCTCAAGAGCCAGAAGGCAGCATGTACCGGGGATGCCCACGGCCGGGCCAGCGGCCGGCGGCCCTCGGAGGCAAGTTCAGGAGCGCCGGGTCCTGGCCTGAACCGCCGACTCTGTGCCCGAGTCACACCAGCCTGCGCCGCCTGCCCTGGGCCTGCAGCGGGCAGCAGCTCCCTGCTTCCAAGCAGGTGGGGTCTCGTGGGGTGCTGCGTCACAGCGCCTGCAGCTGAACACGGGAGGAGGAACGTCCACACCTATCCGCCTGCCTGGTCCCCGCTCCCTTCTTGAAGGGGCCGTGGGCTTTCTGTGCACAGAAACCAACTGGGAGGCGGGAGCCCGGGCCCAGTTTTGCCAACAGGGACTCGGCACGGGAAGGGTAACACGGAGCTGGCCGCACAACAGCGCGTGGAAGACCTTCGGCACGCACACGCCAACACGCACGCACAGGGCACCTGTGGGCTGGCGCTCCCAGGGCCCCTCTCCGCCTGGCAGTCCGGTCTGTGCTGCCCCCGCCACCAGCGGGCACGGGGCCTGCTGCTGCGGGTGCCCGGGTGTCATACAGGCCTCACGTCTCCGTGCCACCCGCCCCCATCCAGGGTGCCGCCATTAACCACAGTCGCCAGGGGGCTACATGTCTGGCTCCAGCGTCTTCCTACAGCGTCATCGTGATGAGCTTCTAGATCTCTGTTAACAGACCGCCCTGCGCAGGTGAGGCCAAGAAGCTGGCAGCGGCCGGGGCCCTGCCGGACACCCGCTCTCTCACACGCGCACAAGCGCCGGGGAAGACCAGAGGTCCAGGACCACCTGGCGAACCCACGGGCCCGCGCGGCTTCTCGGGACACCTGCTCCACCAGAGAGGTGGCCGTGGCCGTGGCCGCGGTCAGTGTCTCTGAGGACACGCGTGGCCGTACCAGCTACCTGCTGCCTCTGCAGAGCTGGGCTCCGGCAAAGTCCCCCCGAGGGGTGGGCAGGCCCTGCGGCGTGGCTGGACCCCACGCCCACAGCTGAGCCCCAGCCGCACAAGCCCGTCCTGCATCAGCTGCTGGTTCGGCGGCTGGGCATCCCGACGCCCGCAGCCTGCGTTTCGCTTACCTACTGTGATCGAGCCTGCGGCCAACAAGCACCAGGGAGCCCCGGAGAGGAGCCAGGCAGCACCTGCTCTCTGGGACCCCCGGGAGCCCCTGCGGGGCGAAGGCGGCGCTGGCCCCGGCAGCCGGGAACAGCCCCTCTGGACGGAGCAGCCCGGCAGGGCCCTGGACTCGGCCCACCGCGTGCCAGCAGCAGCACTGCCTTGGCGGTGACCCCGCGGGGTGCCCACGGGTGCGGGGGCCCCGTCCGGAACAGGGCCGTGCAAAGGGATGGGCCCTCCCAACAGGAGGCCGCGGGGTGACCTGGTGGGGGCACAGGCAGGACACCAGCTTACCCAGAGGGAGCCCCTCCTGCAGGCCGTCCTCAGACCCGTCTTCGGAGCCGCCTTCTCGGTCCACGGCTGCGCCATCGTCCAGGGCGGCGGAGGGGTCGGGGGAGCACGCCCCGGGCAGCCCCCCGTCGGGGGCC